TCCCATTTTGGCCCAGATTTTCTAATTCTAACTTTAGAAATCTGTTGCTTTATAGTGTCCGGGAGGGCAACTAAGAGATTGTGAAAATTTCAGTTTGTACCATCATGGATATCTCTAATTCTTATATTTAAGTCTTTAGGAGAGAGAGGTCCCTCAATTAGGCCCCGTAAATTTCTTGCCTCAGGAATCCAATTTGTGTTCCAGATATCCATATTGGTATTTAAATGAGGTGACCAGGTAATTCCTTTATTGCACACAGTCCACCCCTTTAAAATGCTTTGCCAAATAAAAGAGTGGAATTTTATGGTTTTACTGTAGCCATATGTCGTGGTAATTAAGTTTACCCAAGGAGTTGTAGTATTTGATATAAGTCTCCATGCTAAACTTGATAGTAAGCTTATATTTTTAGTTTTAGCATCTTTAATACCAAGACCTCCATTTGATTTTGGTTGACAAATAGTAGACCACTTTATTAAGTGAAGTCTTTTCTTTTCAGATGTAGTACCCCAAATAAAGTCCCTTTGTATTTTGTCGATATTTTTTAGGATTTTTGTGGGGAGGAGTGTATATTGCATATAATGGTTTGGGATTGTATTAAGGCAGGCATTTGCAAGGGTTGTTCTGCCAGCTATGTTGACAAACCTAGTTTTTCAATTTGCCAATCTGGCTCTCATTTTGTCAAGGATAAAAAAGTAGTCCCTAGACCGAGGGTTTTTAGTTAGAATTGGAAATCCCAGATAGGTTCCAAACTTATTGCTTTTTCTAAGCCTAGGGTTAATATAATATCCATAGTGATGTTTGGATGGCAATTGTTGGAGCAGATAATTTTTGACTTAGTGGCGTTTATATTTTGCCCTGAAAGCTTGCAGAAAAAATAAAGACCTATTTTAATGGCCTGGCAGGATGTATTATTTGCTTTGGCCATTATGGTTAAGTCATCTGCAAAAAAAAGGTGGGAGAATAGGGGGCTTCTTCTGCCTATTTGAATAGGATTCCAATTTTTTATATCCACTTGATGGTTAATATACCTAGAGAACATTTTCATGCACAGTATAAAAATATAGGGGGATATGGGATCGCCTTGTCTAATGCCCCTACTGGGCTCAAAAAAGTTGGTGATTGATCCATTTACTAGAACCCCTATTGAGGTGGTGGTAATGTAGCTCATTAGAAGATTTATAAACTTTAGAGGAAATTTGAAATATCAAATGAAAGACCATTCTAGGCGATCGAAAGCTTTTTCAAGATCAATTTTTAAAATCATCTGGCCCTGCTTCCCTTTTATTTCCCTGAAATTAGAGATTAATTCTTGAATAATGATCGCATTGTCAGAAGCTCTTCTATGCTTCATGAAGCTTGTTTGGAAGGGACTAATAATGTGTTCTAAGAAGGGCTTTAGGCGATTTGCAAGATTTTTGTAATCGTTTTGTAAATAGTATTGCATAGGCTAATAGGCCTAAAGTTTTTTACATTATTAGCATTTTGAAACTTAGGTATGAGGCAGAGGTAGGTTTTGTTAATGTCTGGTGGAATACATTGGGTATCAAAAACTTTGTGACAAAAATTAATCACTGATTGACCAATGTTATCCCAATATTTTTGGAAAAAGAACGGGTGTAAGCCATCAGGTCCTGGTGCCTTGAATGGTTTAAAGGAGAAAATAGCCCTCTTTATTTCAAAATCCATTAATGGGTTGTCCAGAGCACCTAGGTTGTAATCATAGTGACTAGATGCGTAATTTTTAATGTCGGTCCAGTTGGTGCTAATATGAGATGTATTAAAAGCACACTTAAAATAATTGCTAACATGGGCTATAATACTGCTATGGTCATTAAACCAATTTCCTGCCTCGACCTTAAAGAAAATAATTTTATTAACTCTTTTTCTATTAGAGGCCGTTATATGAAATTTTTTTGTATTTGCATCCCCTTCGTTTAACCATAACACTCTAGTCCTCAGTTTCCAGTAATCTTCCTCCATCCTAAGGATATCATTATAGTCTTTTTTTAGGTTGATCTCTAGTTGTTGTAAAAAAAAGACTATTTGCATAGTTACCAGAATTCTGTATTCCCTGGAGTCTAGCAAGTATTCTCTTTTTTTTTTGTTTAATGTCTCCAAAAGTATTATTCTTCCATGTTCTAATGTTAGATACAAAGCTTTCACTAGCCTTGCAATAATCATTATCCTCCCAATATTTTTTAGCTATGTTTTGGAAGTCCGGGTGCCTACACCAAAAAGTTTCCAATCTAAAGGGGTGTTTATAATCTACTATATTTTTAGGGATATTCTACCAATAAGGGATTATGGTCAGAGTATATTTTTGGGAGGTGAATAATCGAGCAGTTAGGGAAGATATCAAGCCATTGCTCGTTTGCTAGGACTTTATCAAGTCTTTCCATTATTAAACCTTTATTAAGCCTCCTATGATTTGACCATGTATGTTTACACTCCTTATAGCCAATATCTATTAGGTTACAATTATTTAATTTTGACCAAAGGAAATTACTTCTTTTGTTGTTAACCGGTCTACCCCCCAAATTTCTAGTTTGCACCCATAATATCATTTAGGTCACCCCCTACCATCCAAGGTCCCTTATAGGATTTATAAATGCTTTCTAGATTTTTCCACATATTATTTCTTTTATTCAAATCAGTGCTAACATATATAGAAGAGAAAAGCCAGGATTTTTGATTAGGAAGTACCTCTATAGTAGCATGAATTTCCTGATTTCTTCGGACAAAATTATGGACAGTGACGATGTTGTGATTATACATAACAACCATTCCTCCTGCTTGGCCTTCTGATGGGACCTCGATCATTTCTGTGAACCCAAACTCACCTAGCATTTGTGCATGGTTAGCCATCCTAGTTTCTAGTAGAGTTACCATGCAAGGCCTATGGGTATCAACCATCTCTCTGAAGTTTCTCCTAAACTCGTCGTTATTCCCACCCCTAATGTTCCAGATTATGAAGTTAGTAGGACGATTCATGGCTAGGTTCAGTTGAAGGTTTGCTGGTTCCCCATTCTCCCTTGCTCCTTGATGGAATACAGGGTTCCTTCTCAGTGCTGGGACTAGGATCATGGCACGATTGCCCACCGTTGGGTCTTGGGGAGGCCTGATGTCCATTGAGAACTTGTACAGTGCTAATGGACAGCTGAGTACATGCCTCTTCTCTTAGATCTCCGTGAAGAGAAAAACTTTTACCTCGTTTATGCTTGAGAACTCCAAGATTTGTTCCACTCTTGGGAACAATGGGTCTCCCATTTCCTCCTCTGGGGATCCTCTTCTCCTTCTACCTCCTGCACGTTCTGTGGGTGGGGTACTGGGGGTATTGGAGTTTCTTGGTGGACTTGTGGTTGTGGAGGGTGAACTTGGGGCTGGGGAGGGTTCTCCCAAGGCATGAAGATCGGATTCAAGTGTGTGAGAGTTTCTGGAGGGAAGAAAGGCATATCTAGGTCGGGGTTCTGTGGTTGCATGGGATTGAAATGTGGAGGAATATTCCATTGATGCATCATTGCATGCAACAGATGTGGATTCATTGTTGGAGCCAATGGGTTCAGTATGTTGTTTAACCAAACCCGGTTCAAGTAGTTGCTCATCGTAAGCCTCATTCCTTCGGATATCATTTGGGCAAGATAGTGAGTGTTGTGGAGAATGATAATGGCTTCCTGCCCATTTATTTGGACATTGAAGGACACTGCATGACCCAACAGACCCACTTCCATCCACGAGAGTGGTTGGTAATCCTGGTTTTGAGGTGGTTGGACTAGGATTATTTGTGGGTCTATCGCTTGTGGTTGAGCAGGCTGGTGGTTCTCCATGGTCTGGACTTTGTGATGCCTCAAGATTTGGATTAGCCTGTGCCTTCTTCTCAAGGTAGATGGGATTCTTGGCATTGTTTAGAGAGGGGTCGAGATTTCTTATAGAAGAATTTTTTGGCGTGGTTTTTTGGTTATCAGTAGAAGTGTTGGGAAGAGAGCTAATGATTGGCGGCTCAATTTGCATGCCTAGAGAGTGGGTAGCGTATTATATTGTGCAATATCCTTCTCAGATTTTGCATGGATTGGGTATTTTGGTTCAGTTGACATTTGTCCGTTATGTGTATAAGAGGAAGACATTTGGATGGCATGCTCGAAATCTTCTTTGCCACGAGCTATTACGCTCATAATGTTAGTAGCTTCAGGGGTTATAGAGTAATTAGTTATGTCTTGGACCTTTGATTGGTTGGAATTAACGGTCATAGGGTCCCTAGTGTTGATATTAGTAGAGCTAATTATATTATTTATGTGATTTTCCTGCATGGCGCTAGAATTTTTAGTGGTTACTAATGCCACGTGTGAATTTGATATATCCATGCTGTCCATGGAAGCTTCCAACTGATCATTAGTGTTTAAAAAAACTTTATCATTGAGATTAGTAATTTTATAAAATACTATTTTATTATTATCAAAAACCGTGGTTTCACCCAAAACCATTTGCTCTTCTTCCAAAAGAGTAAAGTTGTTTTGAGTTGTAATGTTGGTATTCTCCATTACTGGAATTTTTGTGCGTTTATCAAGCAGAGACTCATTAGATTTAACCATGTCTATGGACCTGTAATGTAAGATTTTTGTGTCTAAGTACTTATCAGTTGTTGCATTGAAAAGTTTTACCGGGATACCTGTGTTGTTGACGTTTTCCATCGACTTAGGAGGTTGATCTTTGTTGATTTTTGGTTCTGGTCTCTTTTTTTTGTTAAAAGAGACTGTCTTCCACTCCTCTTTTTCTTCCTCCCATTTCTTGATTGGTTGTCCCTTGTCCATTTATGCTTGATCCATGGCTTGCATTTTGTTGTCCATTTTTGCCTTGAGTATGAAGTTACACTGGGTTTGGATATGGCCCAGACGCCCACAGTTCTTGCATAACAATTTTTCCCCTTCATAATGGATATACTGTTTATGTTGTCCAATATAGATGTAGGGTTGGACGGGGGTTTCCAGTGGGACTCCACACATAGCCTAGCATATCGGCCTCTGACCGGTGGAGGTGCAAACATCTATTTTTAATAATCTGCCTATAGCATTCCCAATCTTCTCAAGGAGTTTTCCATCGTAAAACTCAGTTGGCAATTGTGGAAGACGGATCCAAACTGCTGAAACTGTTAACTTTTCTTTATTTGCTACAAAATTTGGCCTCCATTTGGTAATTGACAGGTAGTGACCGTTTATAAACCATGGACCCTGCGTGAAAGCCTTCTCCATATTTTCTCTCTTTGTAAACTTTACGATGTAGTAGTCATCCCCTAGATCAATAAGAGGGAAGTTTTTCGTTGGTCGCCATAGTTCTTGGATCTTTTTTTCCAGGTAATGATGTAGGATTCTTTTGCCAAATAGCTTGACTATAAGTGAGAACTTCCAAGGTTCATAAATTCTTTGTTTTTCTTCGTCTGTTAGTGTTATTTCTTTAATGCCCCGTGAATTGTGCTCGATTAAATGCTCCTGCTCTTCCCTTTCTGGTAGGATTTCTTCCATTGGATCCTCGGATAGAGTAAGAGAATTTGTAAAGTTTATTGGGTTTGAGGCTAGCAGCTTATCTTTGAAAGACGCTTTGTCTTCCACACCATTAACCATGACAGTTTCATTGTTGATGTCTGGCGGTTTAGGTGAGTGGAGGAATGAGTTTTTCTTTATATGAGGGTTGAGAGCTCATGAGTTAATCCTATCTTTGTTTGGCCCTTCAAGTTAACACAAAATGAGTACTTTTGATCTCCATAAAATATTTAATAAATATTAATTATTAGATTTAACGCCAATAGTGAAAAACTAGGATTTAACAAAGCGACCTTGTTTTCACTACTCCTAATTTGAAAAAGCTTGTTTCTCACAGAAAATAATTTTCAAAACATTTGACCAATCAAAATTCAAATATGAGAATATTGAAAAAAAATGTTTTCCTCCATTATGAAAACATCCACAATTTCCAAGCTGGAGTAGTTGGCCGCGTGGAAAAGAAGGGAGCTGTGAGAGAAAGTGCAGAAGAAAAACCGAAAAGAAACACGATATTCAATAAGAATATACCCACCATTTCCCTAAAAGAAAACAACAAACAAAGGTACAAGATAGCCAGTAGTAGCAGAGGATAACATCATCAATCGGGCAACCCATAAAACTTTAGCTAAAATCCACCCATCTTCTTTGTTCTTCTATGTTGGATCTCACTTCTGTAAGCCTTCTTCCCAAATTCTTTCTTTATTTTTAGATTCAACGCTTTTTGATTTGAGGTGTAAGTTGGATTTATTTACTGTTACTGAAGTTGGAACTTCTGTATTGAATTGGGTATTTGATTTTGTTGAAAATTTTGTGGGAATTGATTGAAGAAAATAAGACTATACTTAGAATAAGTTTTGTTCTTTGTTTTTGACCTAATTACCTATGTAAAACTTGAAGAGAAACCTAATGATTTGTAGTTGAAGCTTCTGTAATGTATTGGGAGAATTGAGGGACAGTATTGGTTTACTGAACTCAAAATTGAAGAAATGAAGTTAAAAGTTTAAAACAAGTTTAGTTCTTCATTATACCTAAGCTTATGTTAATTTTATATAAGCTGAAATAGAAACATTAAGATTGATGATGGGCTTGAATACTTATATTTTTTTATTTTTTATTCTTTTATAATTATTTTGGATTTAACTCTTCGTTGTGCAAAGCATAGTCAGTCTTGAACCCAATAAATGATCGGCTTATAGTTGATGTCAAACTGTTACAAATCCTCTGAAAATAGCCTACAATTAGTTTGGAATTGAGGCATAGTTGATATTTAGGTATATTTTTATGTTTATTTTGGGTTTCGCTTACAAAATACTATAAACATCTATGATACTTGTGCTGGTGGGAGGTAGCAAGTACGAGGTGGAATAGTCGAGGTGCATGCAAGCTGGTCAGGAGTCGTAAAAATATAAATAAAATTTTCTGACCCACAAAGGTCTTTTTGTTTTTGGCTTCTCATTTAGATTCTTGGTTGGATATTTATGTTTTGGCAGTGAAAAAGATGTCTTGGAAGAGCAGTAGCGGGGAACAGAATGGTGGGCGATTGCTGCGTGACATTGAAGAAATTAGCAAAGCCCTTTATGTACATAAAACCCCTCAGAAGGCTTTAACTTTTCTAGCAGATCATGGGCATGATTCTTTTGGTGATACCCATATCTCTAGATCCAGTTCCAATGTTGTATCTGATGACGTGCTGCATAAACAGAAGAAATCATCAATGTGGAGATGGAATCCATTAAAGGCTCTAACTCATATCCGCCATCGAAGGTTCAATTGTTGTTTCTTTCTTCATGTTCATTCCATTGAAGGCTTGCCTGTCAATTTCAAGGACCTTGTTTTGTGTATAAACTGGAAACGTAAGGGTGAAGTGATTAGAACTCGCCCTGCTCAGGTTTGTCAGGGAACAGCTGAGTTTGAAGAGACTTTGACGCATTCCTGTTCCGTATATGGAAGTAGGACAGGACACCAGCATTCAGCAAAGTATGAGCCTAAACATTTCATGCTTCACGTTTCTGTGATTGGGGCTCCAGGCCTTGATATTGGCAAACATTGGGTTGATCTTACGAGGTTGCTTCCACTAACCTTGGAGGAGTTAGAGGAGGGAAGAAGGAATTCAGGGAAGTGGACCACGAGCTTCAAGCTTTCAGGAAAGGCTAAAGGTGCAATGCTGAATGTTAGTTTCGGATTTTCTGTATTAGGGAGTAACTCGATTGAACCTAGTCAATTCGTACAAGCCATCAAACCTGCTGCAATAGATCATTTCCCAGAATGTGATGGGACTAGTGGTAATAGAATGCTTCGGAGGGTTGGAAGTGTTCCCCGCAAGCCTGCTGGTATGACTCATTTTTCATCTAGGTCACTGGATGCGAGAAGTTTTGATGAAGTTTTATCAGACCAAAAATCAGAACTTTCTCGATCTATTACCTTTCTGTATAAAAAACTTGAGGAAGGAAAATTGGAGAAATTGGATGAATTAGATTTCTTATATGACCATTTAGAACCCTTAAAACCAAGCTCTGGTGCTTTGTCTCAGTCTTATGCTGAAAGTACCAGGGATGATCAACATATTGAGTTTACTGTCAGTGAGCTGGGCATGGAATCTTCTAAGAAAGAGCAGTTGAAACCACAGGTATGTTCTTATGAAAGTTGTGATGATACTTCAATAGAAACTACTGATGTTGCTTACATTTTGGAGGATACAAGTAATGAGAAAAGTAAATACAATCAAAAGCATGAAAGCAATGATGTTGACGGAGGAGAACATACGATGAAGAGCAGCAACTATGAGGAGAGTGATGTGTGCGAGGATGGAACATTTGAAGAGCTTGAATCGATTTTCCTAGACCTGTTGACTGCTGAGTCCGCGGAGTTGGATTCACCAGTAGAAATCTTTGATTCCATTGACCAAGAAAACTACATGAATCTGAAGTCCAGCTATAAATCTGGTAGGCGAGTGAAATCACTTAGCCTAGATGATGTTACAGAGTCTGTGGCAAATGATTTTCTAGATATGTTGAACATTGAGCAGACGTCAATTGACTTGAGTTTTGATAGTTGTCCGGATTCGCCAAGAGAATGCCTTTTGAGACAGTTTGAGAAGGAGGCCCTTTCTTCTGGAAACCCAATTTTTGGTTTTGATGCAACAGATGATCAAGTGGAATTCAGTGGCATTGCTTCAAGTGTTCATGGAAGAGTTGCATGTTCTGATGACTTTGATTTGTCATCGGTTATTAAGGATTTTGAGAAGGAGCACAAGCGGGGTACCCAGTCATTGAGGAGTAAAAGGAATGCAAAAATGATAGAAAACTTGGAAACTGAGGCTTTGATGCGAGATTGGGGTTTGAATGAGAAAGCATTCCAGAATTCACCACGAACCAGCTCTGGTGGGTTTGGAAGTCCAATCTATCTTTCCCCTGAAAGACCATTAGAATTACCTCCTCTTGGGGAGGGCTTAGGTTCCAAAATGTGCACGCGTAATGGGGGCTTCTTATGTTCAATGAGTCCTCAACATTTTAGGAATGCAAGAAATGGTGCAAGGTTGACCATGCAGTTTTCCAGTCCAGTTGTGCTCCCTGCTGCAATGGGTTGTAGTGCTATGGAAATACTCAGCTGCTGGGCATCTGGGGGAATTTCCAAAATGTCTGTTCAGGCGGATACGCTGATGCCTTTAGAAGATATCACGGGGAGAAATATACAAGAAATGGCCTGGGAAGCCAGATCCAGAACTGAACCAGATGAGAGGTTTGTAATTTTAATATCATGATATAAGTTATAAGTTTTCTATTATTTTCATTGTTTGTATGTCATCCAAGACGACGGTTTAAGTTATGTTCTTGTGATTCTTTTGGCAGGTTCACTTTTTGGCATGGCTTATTTGGTATGAAGGACAGTGAAGATCTGTTTTTACATCGGAGTTCTGGTCATCTGAATTCAACCTCAATAATTGATGATGTAGATTTAGGTTTTGTGTCTATGGAGGATCTAGCTCCTTTGGCAATGGATAAGATAGAACCTCTTACAGTAGAAGGGTTAAGAATCCAGTCAAACTTGTCAGATAATGAAGCACCTTCAAGCATTAGGCCTCAACTTAGTGAATTTTTTGGTTCTAATATAGCTAGCGCATTACAGCATTGGAGTGGCAAAGAAAGTGATGATGACGAGGGTGATTTAGTGGAGCTGTCTGTTTCACCAGATGAATGGTTGAGGCTGGATGCTGGAGATTTCAGTAATAATCCTGAGATCAAAGAAAGAACCATCAAAATATTAGCAGCCCATCATGCTAAGTCCCTTGATTTAGATAATTCAGGACTTGCAACAGGTGAAGAAAGATCGGAATTGTTGGGTAGAGAATGTGGTCAACTGTGTAACAGCTTGACTTTAGCTCTGAGGGTTCAACTCAGAGATCCTTTGCGTGACTATGAGATGGTCGGCATCTCCATGCTCATTCTAATTCAATTAGAGAGATCTTATGCTCCTGTTGAACAATATTCTTGCAGCAGAGCATCAGAAAGAAATTCAAGCTGTGAAAATGATCCAAAGGAGCAATTCATTCAGGAAGAAATTATTGCTGGAGAAAGTGAGAGAGGAATCCATAGGCAGGCTGTTTCTCAGTTTAGGATAACTGAAATTCATGTCGCAGGTTTTAATGTTGAGCCTAATGATGAACAAATTTGGGACACAAAAAGACAGCAACAAGCTGGGACGCGGTGGTTGCTATCAAGTGGCATGGGGAGGACAAGCAAACGTCCATTTTCCAAGTCAAATGCCATCATAAGATCATCGCCGCAGATAAGGAGAACTATGCAGCCTGGAGATGCTTTGTGGAGCATCTCATCGGATTTTCATATTAGAGATTCGAAATGGAAAGAGTTGGCAACATCAAATGTTCATATACGAAATCCTGATATTATTTTTCCAACTGAAGGTTGTCCAAAGCCCAGTCATTTGGGAATCAATTTATAACACCCTCTTTCTACACATGTATATTTTTCCATTTTGTATATGAAGTGAAGATATCTCTCGATCATCTTTATGTAAAGTAGCTGAAAATAGTTTCACGGCATAGCTTTATCTCCAAGGCATTT